TCCCAATTGTCAACAGTAAACCCCCTTGCCATTTCCTTGATTCTGAGGGTTTCCAAGGCTGTTATCTTTACAGAAGCAAAGCCCAAACCACACCCACTGCTGTGGAGTCAATGCTGACTCACAGCACCCCTAGAGGACAGAGTGAAACTGCCCCACAGGGTCTCCAAGGCTGTCAATCTTCACAGAAGCAAAGCCCAAACCACACCCATCAAGGTGGAGTCTATTCTGACCCACACTGTCCCTTGAGGACAGAGTGGAACTGCCCCACAGGGTCTCCCAGGCTGTCAATCTTCACAGACGCAAAGCCCAAACCACACCCATCAAGGTGGAGTCTATTCTGACCCACACTGTCCCTTGAGGACAGAGTAGAACTGCCCCACAGGGTCTCCCAGGCTGTCAATCTTCACAGAAGCAAAGCCCAAACCACACCCACTGCCGTGGAGTCGATTCTGACTCTCAGCACCCCTAGAGGACAGCGTTGAACTGCCCCACAGCGTTTCCAAGGCTGTCATCTTTGCAGAAGCTAACTGCCTCATCCTTCTGCCATGGAGCTGCTGGTGGGTTCCAACTGCCGATTTTTTGGTTAGTAGCTGAGCGCTTGACCCTTAGGCCACCAGGTTTCGTAAGTAAGCAGCAGCACTCCCATTTGGGTAGATTTCAAGAAGCATTTGTCACCTCTTCAACCACACTCCTTGAAGTCAGGAGTCAGGTGTTGGCCCGTGTGCCTACAGAAGTCAGCAGGGAGGAAACACACTGAGGACCATTTCCATTCCTTGTTCGATCTCTCATCAGCTTCTATAACCCAAAGTCATTTGTTGTTGCTAGGTGCCATCGAGTTGGTTCCGACTCATAGCAACCCCGTGCACAAGAGACGGAAACGTGCTCGGTCCTACGCCAGCCTCACAATTGTTTCTATGACTGAGCCCACTGTCGCAGCCACTGTGTCAACACATCCCGTTGAGGGCTTTCCTTTTTTTTTTAATTTTTATTTGATTTGGGTGACCGTTTACAGAGCAAATTTACTTTCCATACAGCAGCTCACATACACTTTGTCTCATGACATTGACTACAATTCCCACAATGCACCAGCTCCCCTCCCATTTCCTCCCCATAGTTACCTCTTCCCTGTGTCCATCCCTCCATGCACTCCTGCCCCCTGAGCTGTCTCCCTGTGCATACACAGCCCTTCTATTCTCCCATGATTGATCTCTCCAAGGAGTGTATCTAACTAATGTAAATGTTCAGCTCATATGCCTGGCTTTTGTTTGGCTGGAAGACACAGGCGTGGGTTCAATTCCAGACCTGAGGGGCAGGTAGGGGCCATAGTCTCAGTGGTTCCACCAGGAGAGCCTTCCTTCTTTGCTAACCCTCCACCAATCATGATGTCCTTCTCCAGGGACCAGTACCCACCTGATAACATATCCATAATACCCGAGACAAAATCTCACCATGCTCGCGTCTAAAAAAGCCACTTAATCTGAACTTTCCCCTTTAGCCTCTGCTCCTTTTATAAAAGGAAAATGCAAGCATCTCACAAGATGAAAATACTCAGGAAACTGTCACTCACAACAAATATTAGCTGTTACCAATATAACTTGTTTTTTTAATCATAAACCTATTTTCATATAACGAGTCCTGGTGGTGCAATGGTTAAGTGCTCAGCAGCTAACCAAAAGATTGGCAGTTCGAATCCAGCAGCAGCTAGGAGGGAGAAAAGCCTTGGTGACCGGCTCCCAGCCTAGAAAACCTTTTAGGGCAGTTCTGTTGTCATACAGGGTCACTATGAATCGAAGTTGACTTGACGGCACCCCATAACAGTCCTCAGTGAAGACATATACATATTACATATGATCACCTCCAGCATATTCCACAAGGGGCCTTGTTTGCACAGCAGTTAAGTGCTTGGCTGCTAACAGAAAGATTGGCGGTTCAAATCTACCAGGAGCTCCAAGGGAGAGAAATGAGACAGTCTGTTCCCATAAAGATTACAGGCCTGGAAACCCTACGAGGCAGCCCTCCTCTGTCCTAGAGGGTCAATACGAGTCAGAATCAACTCAACAGCAGTGGGTTTAGCTTGGGTATCATCTCCCACTACAATCGTGTCTCCCTCAAAGTCTATTAAATCACCACTACCTTCTATCGGCGGGAGCTCTGGTAGCAAGGTGCCTAAGGCACTTGACTGCTAACCAGAAGGCTGGCAGTTCAAATCCATCGTGCCCATGCCCCTCACGCATGTGGTGCTCGGGTCTAAAGGTCTTCCTCAGAAGGAAGATGGGGCAATCTACTTCTGTAGCGCTTGGAAACCCAAGGAGGGGTCGCTATGAGTCGGGTCCGACTCGACAGCACTTAACAGCACCTTCTACTGGCAGCTTCTCTACACTCCAAAATGTCATCCCAAAACTACCCTTTCCTTCTTAGGTTTCCTAGTTGCTCCTTCTAAATTCCCACTACATATTTCCCGATGTTGTACCCGAAATCTGGATGATAGCCACGTCTGTGGGACAACCTCACTTTAACATCTATCCTTCCCAATAGTTCAAACATCATCTTCTAGACAAATCCTTCACTGCCTTGGGAAGACTCCAAATGCTATCAAACCAAACCAAACTCACTGCCATCCAGTCAGATCCAACTCACAGCGACCCCTCCTTGGGTTTGTGAGACAGTATCTCTATGGAAGTATATTGCCCCACCTTCCTTCCGAGGAGTGAACCGCCAGCCTCCTGGGTAGCAGTCAAGTGCCTTAGGTGCTACGCCACCAGAGCTCCTCAAAATGTTACAGCAATGTTGAAATTCCTTCACAAAGACCATGGCGTATGACAGAGTGTGGAATGATCAGGTCACAAACTGAATGCTTGTCTACTTTGTAGTTTCCGAGATGATGCAGAATGGGTTCCTTGGACTTTTTGTATCTTCACCCAAAGAAAAAAAAAAAGCATTTTCCTTTTGTACTTCTTGAACCACCCTGTATGAATTGTGATGGACTTCAATAGCCTTTTTCTGTGCTATTAATTACAAAATAGCTCTATAGTCAAATGAACCAATATTCTGCTTCAAGATGTAAACAAAACCAAGAACTTGAAAAATGTTGTAATCAAACATCACCAGCTGCAACTCCATTAACTAAAATTCTGCTCACTTCAAATCCTTATGTTTTGGGAAACCAGAAAGAGGATGCCCCCACCAATCAATGCTGTGAACTTGGCACAGCACTTAACAGCCGCCAATTTCCTTTCCTTGGTTTATCTTATTGGGGTCCCACAGAAACTCCAAGACAGGTGTTAATCATTCCAGCAAAACACAGCAAAACTTGTGGAGCTTGCAATCAACGTCTTAAAACAAACCTTGGATAAATGGAAAAACAATTTGCTCTGTAAACTTTCATCCAAATCACAAAAAGTTAAAAACAAAGAAAAGAAAAAAGCAAAACTCAACCAAGGTCAGAAAGAGGATCACAACCAAGGCCAAGGGCGACCCATCCGCTCCTGAGCCAACTCTGCTGCCATCGCAGCCGCCTTAGAGGGGAGGCCCACCCAGTTCACATGCAGCATTTCCTCTCCTCCCTATGTAATTACACACCATGTAGCTATTTTTAAAGGCCTAAGCAAATTTCAATCTAAAGACTAGCTTTGCCTTCCCCTATCATAAGACATCTTTTTAAGGTCCCAGAAAGAATGAGAGAAAAATGAACAGCAAAACTCAAATTTCTACCCTTTAAGTTGGGAAATAAACTTATCCCCCTGGCTCAACTTTCAGCCAAAGGACAGACAGACCTAGAGGTGGTAACACCAGGGAGGCACTTCCTAGAACAATCAACCATAAGGGATCAAAAGGGCAGCATTTGCCCAGGGGGAAAGCTCAGAGAGCAGCGATGGGTAGCAAAGAAGGATGAACAGAAATGGTGACCATTAACCGCTGAGACTGGCCCCTAGCTGCCCTTCAGGTCTGGAATTGAACCCACACCTGTGGCTTCCAGCCTAACAGTAGACAGGCATATGAGCTGAACATTTACCTGAGGCAGACACACTCCTTGGAGAGAACAATCATGGGAGAAGGAAGGGCTGCTTATGCACAGGGAGATAGCTCAGGGGGCAGGAGTGCATGGAGGGATGGACACAGGGAAGAGGTAACTATGGGGAGGAAGTGGGAGGGGAGCTGTTGCATTGTGGGAAATAGTAGTCAATGTCATGAGACAAAGTGTATGTGAACTGCTGTATGGAAAGTGTATTTGCTCTGTAAATTTTCACCCAAATCACAATACAAAAAATAATAATAATAAATTAAAAGAAAAGAAGAAATGGTGACCACCAGGAGGAAGTGGGAAGAGCTGTCACACTGTGGGGGTTCCAATCAATGTCTCCAAAGAGCGTGTGTAAGAACAGGGATTGGTAACTAATTTGCTCTGTCAACTTTCACCCAAATCACAATTAACAAAAAAACTCAAATTGCTAAGGAAGGTCAGACCTACTGGACCGACAGAGTAGAGGAACCCTGGAGACTATCTCTTGGGGACACTCTTTGAACTTGGGACTGCAGCTATTTCTCAGGCCACCTCTACAGCCAAAGACTAGACTGGCTTAGAAAATTAACATCACCCGTGAGTGATGTGTCCCTTAAACAATGAACTCTCTAAGACCAAACAGTCAACCCGGAAGTAAAAGTGAGACAGCAAGGAAGGGAAGTTGGACCAATAGGAACAGCACAGATGGAATGGAAATAATGAGAATTGACACACTGTGGAAATTGTAACAAATGGCATGGAACAATGTGTCTAAGGGTTGTTAAAGGGGAATCCAATTTGCTGTGTACACTGTCTCTAAAACACAACAGAACATTAAAGAAAGAAAACATCCTTGGAATCATCCACACCGTCAGGTACCATCCCAAAGGATAACAAACTCAAGGTCTTATTCAACTGGGAACATGAGCACCGCTGACGTAATTTGTGACTTTTAGGTCCCAGATAACCAAGAACTCACAGTGGCACCCCCTTCACTCACCGAGACAACGTTGTTTTCCCAGAACCAGGCAGGCCTCTCAGAAGGATAAGTAACTTCTGCAATTTCTGTAGCTTTGCTTCCTGACACTGCTGGTTCACACGCACGTCGATCCCGTTACACACGTCCACAGGAGCATCTCCCCGGCATCCTTCTCTGGTTTCACAGAAACCATCGTGCCCATGCCCCTCACACATGGGGTGCTCGGGTCTACAGGGAAGCACATCACGGCTGTTTTCCCCACAGTCAGCATGCGCACTGTTCTGACCCCAGTTTGGGCAATTCCAGTTCACGGGATAGCTATTGACATAACCCCCATTCCGTGGCCGACAGTCATCTTGGGCACGGAAAACATGTGCTGCTGGATTTGGTGGAGGAGGAAATCTCTGAAGATTTAGATGATAGTTAAAACTGGGAGGAGGGGGTGGAGGAGGACCGTGGGGTACAATAAAGGCAGGCAGCGGCTGCCATTCAGGCCTGAAGGAAGGAAACGAACCATCACAGAACGGGGGTATGACTTGTCCGTCACGGGGGTGCTGGCCCGGCTGACTCCCCAGGTATGGCAAATAACCACAAGGTGGCTGAGGAGCGGCACTGAGGCAGCCTTTCCTTTCTTCTTCAGACCCTAAGGGATCACGAGAAAGGTTCTGATAATATGGGGCAAGTTGTACCAGAGAGGGTACGGGTTCCGGCTCGGGTATGGGTTTCGGATCGGGTACGGGTTCCGGCTCAGGTTCGGGTTCCAGCTTGGGTTCCCGACAGCTGCTTTCTAAATCATCTTTTTCCTTTTCAAGCTCTTCAATTTCTTTGTAAAACTGAAATAACTCGCTGTCAATCTCTGTTGTTTTGGGGTTAGACTTGGGCGCCTCTTCTCGTCTTCCTTTGCCATTTATACTCCTGAGGGTGCGTGCCTGAGCCCGTCTTTCACGGCGTCTCTTCTCCTCAGGGGGCTTGTAAATGGGGCCTATAAAGGCTTTGCTTGTACTGTATATGCCGTCGTCCGTGGATGCTACTGGACCTGCTTCCTTTACAACTTGGGAATCAGTGCATCCAACAGCATCGGGTCTGTGCTGAGGCATCACATCATGCAGAGGTTTCAAGCAATCTGTGGGATGGCTGGTGTCCCCCTGAGGATGAGGATTTCCTCTGAAATCAAGGACACTTACTGGCATCCAATCATTTCCAGTTTTCTCTTGGATTCTGTCAAAATTAGCTCTGGCATGATGGGGAAAAACATAAGCCTCTTCAGTTGGCTTCAGTCTTTTGTAGCATGGTTCAATTACCGGTTCTTCTCCATGACCCAAGGGTTTAGCTTCAATTTCACCATAAGGCATCTGAGGAGCAAATAAAGCATATAATTAACAGCTAATATGTTAAACAGGAGCCCTGGTGGTGTGAGGGTAGACCTCAGCTGGTAACCCAAAGGTTGGTGGTTCAAACCCACTGAGAGACTTCGCAAGACAGTGACCTGCTTATGCGCTCCCATGAAGATGACAGCCTAGGAAACCCTATGGGACAGTTCCACTCTGTCACAGGGGGTCAGAATCGACTTGATGGCATCGAACAGTAACAACTACCAATGACACACCATTGAAAACTGACTGGACGTCACCTAACAACAGCAACGTTTTACAAATGTAAACAAAAGTTTCTTCAAGAACAACAAACCAGAAAAAGATTACATTTGTGATCTAGGCATTTATTGTAAACATCCTCCCAAAACATTAGAGTCAAATTATTAATAGTCACTACTTAAGTCATCATAAACTGAATGAAGGTAAGTGAAGCACTGAAAAAAAAAAATCACACGTAAAATTCCCTTAAAAAAAAACAGCCATGTATCACCTGTAACCTAGATGATCCATTTCTGAATTTAGAGAATTTAAAGAGCTCTGCTTGGAAAATTTAATCAATAATACATAGCTTGACGACTAGACCACAATTGTACTAGGAAGTAAAAGTGCCAAGCAAACTGATGGTTAGATGAACAGGGGTCTGTGGTATGTGTGCATCACATTTTCCTGTTTCAAACCAGCAAAGCTTTGGTGAGAGGTTCCGGCTCCCAAACCTCAACTAAGCCCTCTTCCTTAGCAACCCAACATTAGACTAAAGAAAACACCGTTCTTCAGGGGCCGTCTTTCTCTGAATAGACAGTAAAGGTGATTTTCAAATGGGGCTGTTTTCATTAAAATAAGGATTCTAACTGCAATTGTCCTGAAAAGGGCACAAATATATTAAGGTAAAACAAACAAACAAACTCCCAAATCAAACATTTTTTTCAAGTTTATAGCTAGGATAACTTTTGCTTCTCTTGAAATTTCTTAGGGACCTAAAGAGTGCAATCTAAATGTCTATTTTACCAAGTATGTCTCACACTGGGCAAATCTGCAGCAAAAGACATCTTTAAAGTGTTCAAAAGCAAACTGTCACTTTGAATACTAAGATGCACCTGACCCAAGCCATGGTATTTTCCATCACCTCATGTACTTGCCAAAGCTGGACAATGAGTAAGGAAGCCGGAGGAACAGTCGATGCCCTTGAATTCTGGTACTGACGAAGAATACTGAATACACCATGGATTCCCAGAAGAATGAACAGATCAGTGTTGGAAGAACTACAAGGGGATGGTCCTTAGAACCAAGGGTGGCGAGACTTCGTCTCACATTCTTTGGACATGTCATCAGGAGGAACCATTCCCTGGAGGACATCACGCTGGTAAAGTACAGGGTCAGAGAAAAAGAGGAAGACCCTCCACGGGGTTGCCTGACACAGTGGCCGCAACAATAGCTTCAGCACAGCCAGGATCGTGAGGGCGGCGCGGGACGAGGCAGCGGTTCGTTCCGTTGTCCACCGAGTCGCTGAGTCGGAACCGACTCGATAACACGGAACAGCAGCTCCGTCCAGCGATCCGGCCGCTCCCCTCTCTAACAGGAAATCCGAAGGCAAGGGCAGGAAGATGAATGACGGAGGCAGGCCAGGGACTGGAGGAGACTGCAGTTACAAAGGACGCCAGCCTCCCGGAAGCAGAGCCCGCGCTCCTCCGTCACCTCTCAGCTGACTTCCTCATTCGCTACGCAAGGGCCGAGTCCCGCGGAACAGCGCGGGGGCTGCCTCAGGGCAGGGGCTTGGAAAGCTTAAAGCGAGCAGCCCCGGCAAAGTGCGTCATCGGCTTCTCTGTCCCGGCTCTTCCTAGACCTAATGGAGCCTCAAAGGCTCACTCTGGCCTCCGCGGTTAATTTAAAGGGTCCTACCAAGACCGCAGGAGCCCTGGTGGCGCAGTGGCTAAGCTCAAAGGTCGGCAGTTCGAACCTATCAGCCTCTCCGTGGAACAAAGACCTGGCGCTCTGCTTCCCTAAAGATCAGAGTCCTGGGAACCCTGTGAGGCGGTTCTACTGTCCGATAGGGTCACAGTGAGTCGGAGTCCACTCGATGGCAACAAGTTTTTGGACCAGAGAGCACCAGAGACGCTAACGCAAGGAGGAAAGCGAAAAACGTCATACGACTACCCGCCCTCACTGAATAATGGGCTGTCTACTCACCTTACTCTACAGCTTTGCATTGACCTTTAACTCGCAATAAAACGGTCTGGAAGCGCTCTGCGAAAGGGAAAAAGAAACGCGGACACAACAGCTCCCTAAGTAGGAGGCGAAGGGACTAGAAGCCCAGCCCTCACGATCGGAGTAACAAGCCGCACCTCCGTACGCAAGATGGCGGCCGCCTTAGGGCTCCCCGGCAAGAAGCCCGGGTTCGCGCGAGGCATTGTGGGAATTGGAGTCCGGCGTTCTCCCCCAGCCCTCTAAACATAGCAGTATGCGCACTCGGTCTCCCAGAATCCATGGCGGGATAGAGGCACCCTTTTGACAACAAACTCAGGACCAGGACGGAGACTTGGTTTCCCAGAATCCATTGCTTGAACACGCATTCGTTTGGCAGCAAATCCAGGATGGAAAGTAGTTCCGGATCTGGAGCGGAGAAGTTTGGGAATACCAACCAAAAAAGAGAATGTAAGTGAGGCGCCTAGCACCCGAAACGGTTGTATAAGCTGCTCCCAGTGAATGCTTAAGACTTTCTAGGAGACAGATACTCAGCAGGATTTGGCGTCAACATTGGCTATCTCATTTCTAAGAAAAACCACCAGACATTATAGGATCATGGTCTTCTATCAAAAAGAGAATGTCTACAGCAGAGGGTAATGGCTAAAATCATTTAGTATCACACTCGATTGCGGAGAGGGTGTTGGATAAAGACCAATAACTGAGCTTTCTCGTTTGAAAAGTCAACGTGTGACAAGAGATTAGAGCACTGGCCGGTAAAAAATAAGTGCCATGTTTAGTGTTAAATTAAAAATACGAAACCAACAGTTGTCGATCCTCAGCCCAGGCCTCTTCTCTCTCCTCTCTTCCCACTCCCCACCCTCACTCCCGCCAGACTCACCGCCCTTCCCCCAATTCCGACCTTACACAGGGAACTTGGGTATCACGTCATATTTGAACAAATCTTTCCGTAGATACGAACGTTTCCTGCCTTCTTTTAAATAGAGTTGTTCGAAATCACACGCTGGAATGTTTGCATTGAATTATTTATTTAACACTCTGGAGACCAAGAAAGCTCACCCAAGATCTGTATCTTGGAAAATCCCTACGTGTAAGTGGACCCACGTAGTCCAAACCTGTGTTGTTGAAGAGTTAACTGTATTAATTGTTAGAACAAAACGTTGTGTTTGGTAGAGGGTCAGTGAAAACGAGGGAAACTCTCAAAGGAATGGAGTAACAACAGCCATCATCATGGGCTCAAACAGCAAAAATTTTGCTAAAGGTGATTTTAAAAACCTTGCAAAAAAGAAAAAAAAAAAAATGTTGTTGTGGTACAACGAATGAGAACTGCCTGAAATTCAAGCCAAATTCCAAAAAGGACCTGGCATGATGACTATCAATGCTGATATCAGAGAATCCAGAAGGCTGTTTACTTGTGTGTCATTGGCTTCGGGAAGGCATTTGACTGTGTGGATCATAACAGATTATGGATAACATTGTGAAGAATGGGGATTCCAGTGTTTAACTGTGATCACGCAGAGCCTGTGCATAGGCCAAGAGGCAGTTCAAACAGAACAAGGGGATACTGCCTGGTTTTAAATTAGGAAAGGTGAGCATTAGGGTTGTATCCCTTCACCATACTTAGGTGTTTTGAGCAGATAATATAGGAAACTGGACTATATGAGGAAGAACACAGCGTCAGGATTGGAGGAAGACTCATTAACAACCTGGGATATGCAGATGACACAACCTTGCTGGCTGAAAGTGAAGATGACTTGAAGCACTTACTGATGAAGGATCAAAGACTACAGCTTTCAGTATGAATTACACCTCAACATCAAGAAAACAAAAATTGTCAGAACTGGGCCAATAAGCAACATCACAACAAATGGAGAAGGTTGTAATTGTCACAGATTTCATTTTACTTGGATGCACCATCAACACCCATGGAAGCAGCAGGTAAGAAATCAAAGGACTTGCTTCATTGAGCAAATCTGCTGCTAAAGACCTCCTTAAAGTGTTAAAGAGCTAAGATGTCTCTGTGAGCACTAAGGTGCACCTGACCTAAGCCATGTTACTTTCAGTTGCCTCATATGCATGCAAAAGTTGGACAATGAATAAGGAAGACCAAAGAAGACTTGATGCCTTTGAATGACAGTGTTGGTGAAGAATACAGTGGACATTGGGAAGAATGAACAAATCTGTCTGAGAAGAGACATAACTAGAATGCTCGTTACAAAAGAGGATGGCTAGAATTCATCTCACATACTTTGGACATGTTGTTAGGAAGGACCAGTCCCTGCTTGGTAATGTTGTTGTTGTTATGTGCCATTGAGTCGGACCCGACTCATAGCTACCCCACCTTGGGTTTCCGAGGCAGTATCACTACGGAAGTAGATCGGCCAACCTTCCTTCTGAGGAGTGGCTGGTGGGTTTGAACCTTCAGCCTTCTGGTTAGCAGTCAAGTGCCTTAGGCACTATGCTATCAGAGCTCCCTAACAACAACAACTTGGTAAAGCATCCAGGAAAAAGAGGAAGCTCCTCAATGAGTTCAACCAGAGCAACGATTGTGAAGGTGTCACAGGACAGGGCCATGTGTCATCCTGTTGTACGTGGGTCACTATACATGAGAACCAACTCGACCATACCTAATAATAACGACAGCAGCAATAATGTGACTATCTTATTAACTGTTTGACTGGCATCTTGTATTGCTCTGCTCCTGAGAGGGCACTTGGAGGCCTTCTGGAAATAATAATACATTTATTTGTCCTTATTTTTTTTTAATTAGTATTATTTAT